AATGGATGGATGGATCATATAGATTTGCACAGAGACTGAACAATTTGACACAATAATGAAAAGACAGAAAAAAGAAAAAAATCATGTAATGTATCCTGTTAAATATACTAATTTCTTAGCAACTGAGCATTAATCAAAGACGACCCTGTGTACAGTAAGCCTCAAGCTGTTCGCTGAGGGGAAGAATGTCCAGACTTCAAAGACCGCTCTGCAGTGTGCGAGAAGCTGAGGGGGAGAATAAATACTGTTTAATTTGCTTCACGAGTGGTCTAAACCGGTTGCTTGCATGTTGTTGTAGCTGATTGGTTCCAGTTGAGGCTCTGTCAGCTTCACCTCCAGCCCTCCAATCACAAATCAGCACTCTCCCCTGTGTTCATGAATGGCCCTCTTCACCAGGCAACACGTCCAGACCGCTCCTAAAGCTGAAATATGACTTTAGCCCGGAGAGGGTGAGGAGGCTTGACTGAGAGGAAGTCAGTGGAATTAAGAAATGTGGTTTATTTTCTTAGAAATGTAGAACTAGAAAAAAAAGCTGCAGAAACACAAAGAACACAGATTGTAACAAGTGATGTTCAATTCAGTTCATCGTCGTTCTTTTAAAAGAAAAAAGAAAATTACAGGCTGAGAGATGAGGTTAATAACGGCAAGGTACTACCACTAAACACAACAAGTTAAACCCTCCAGCTCTGGTCCCAAAGAGCATCAACATCTGTAAATGGATTTTCTGTTACCATGGCGACCACTGCTCCTGACATAGGCATAACTTAAATATACATGTTCTGAGAGAAATTGTGTTCTAAGAATGTCAGTTCACTCTATGTCTGGACAGAAATGCATCTTGAAAAGGGCAAATACGATCTCAGTTAATCTATTTTAATCTGTTCCGTAGAAATTCCTTGGTATCCATTGCTTCAAACAGCCGATCCCTGGTAGTTAGAATAGTTTATATAGTGCTTTTTTGGACACTCAAAGACGCTTTACATGTCATTATTCATTCACTCCATACACTGTAGCCACAGCTGCCCTGGGGCACACTGACAGAAGCAAGGCAACCAGTAACCAGTATGTGCCATCGGCCCCTCCAACCACCACCAACCAGTCACACACACACCAGACTCATTCTAGGCAAGGAGTTGAAGTGTCTTGCCTAAGGACACAACGGCAGTTAGGCACTTTACAGCCACAGCCACAGCCGCCCCACAGTGGCTGGTGTTCCCAGAGGTTAAGTGTCTTGCCAAGGACACAACGACAGCAGACATCAGTGGGGGTCGGTGGAGAAGGTCTCGTGGTGGGCTCGAACCCACAACTTTCAGGCTCAAAGGCCAATGCTCTACCAGCTACTGTCGCCACTTAGAAAACTTTAGTACCGGCTCAGCGTAGATAGAACCAGGGCCAAGAGGGACAAAAAAAGGAATTAGTATGGGTTAAACAAGAATGACTCCCAATCAGGAGAGAGTAGAGTAGCGTAGTGTATAGAAAGGAGGGCGTAGTGTAAGTTTGATGGAAAAATGGCTATAGAATCACAGCTTCACTCTCACGGACAGTGGGTAAACTTAACACTGGTTTTTAGGTTGAGTCCTGCCTTTATATTTTATATTTTTTTGGGGGGGGGGGAGACAGAAAACCCATGCAAGTTTGTGGTTGAACAATGAATCATCTCTGACACAAGTAGGTCAGCTCAAGTACTTATCATCCCATCCCACTCCTCAATGGGATGGGATGATAATAGCAACTTTCCTATTGTGGTCTGGATACATTTTAGTGCCACAGGAACCAAATATGAGGGGCACAGGAACTATCCTCCTGCTGGGAATCTGAGGAGCACAGGGACTACAGACAATACTCTGTTATAGGCTATTAATCTCCAATGAAGACTATATTTCTCTGGACCTGGGCGCACAGGGTAACCTCCACCAGGGAAGCTGTGTGGCTCAATATAACCCACAGAAATCAAATAGATACAAAAGTCCAAAACACAGAAAACTACAACAACCGCCCAATTTCAAAAGTGTTTTGTCAACTTTTGATGGATATTGACCACTGCCGAAAAACACCAGAGCTGCAGTTTGGAGGCTGTTACAGTACCAATCCTCAAACTCACAACATTTCTGAAATATCAGCGGCAAAACCACAAAAGTGCAAGATAAAGGATAATTGATCATTCTGAGCAACACAGAAAAAACGGTCTGAAATTGCAGGGACAAACAAGCAAAGTATTTTTTTACTTTCAGGGACCTTTGTCAAGTTGCCTCAGCTTTGAACATGCAATAAATTCACTGTAATGTATGCACTTTTAGGCTTTCATTTTATCTGTCTTGTGTAGGGATGTAAAAAACTATGAATTTTCATGACCGACCACCGAGCCTCATTAACCGGTTGAAACCGGTTAACCGCGTAGTTTAAAATAGTCCACGCTCTTTGAAATAACAGCCATTTCGAGCCGCGTACTTTTCATAAGTGCAACTCTGCGTTCTACTGGATCAGAGTTGAGACAGCGGCGCCAAAACCCGCAACAGCTCCGGCACCTTTGCGCACAGAGAACTGCAGAATCTTCCCATTCTGCTGTGCTGCGGGTTAATACCAAAACTTTCTAGCAGCAAACGACGGCTCGTTCACATGGTCAGAGCAGCGAGTGACGAGCCGCGTCTCACAGGTCTCCACAAAAGTTTAAATACAAGTGATGTGTGTGGAGCTGATCCCGAGGACCATAAACACAAACATGTTCCATGTGGTTTGACTGGAGCCGCGTGTTTGCGCGAATCCTTTGGACTCCGTGACACAGAGGAGCGCGACAGACCGGTATGTATGTGTGTATGTGTGTGTATGTGTGTGTGTGTATGTGTGTGTGTGTGTATGTATATGTGTGTGTGTGTAAATGTAAGCTCCAATGTAGTTCTGACCCGCGCCAGTGTGCAACTTTGACGGTAACAGAGGGGAGAGATGATGCGTGTGGATGTTACGTATGGAGAGGGGGAAAGTGTGTGTGTGTGTGTGTGTGTGTGTGCATATGTGGCTCGTGCGGCGTGAGAGTCGTCCCGGAGTTTATAATACATGGGCGCACACAGCTAGATACAGACCCGCTCGTCACACCGTGCAAATAGGGCTTAAAATAGCGTTATTAAGAGACCTCCCCTCTCCCCTTTTTCTCTTTTTTAACAGACAGCTTTGACCGGTTAACGCTGTGACGGTCAACCACCGGTTAACCGGTCGCCGATTTACATCCCTAGTCTTGTGTATAATTTTTTGGCTGGATTTACAGACCTGGCTACAATTTCATAACCCACTTCAGTTTACTAATATACGTTACAATTGAAACATGTTGAGAGAGCCTAATTTGGCCTCAGTCTCTATCTCTCTGGTCTCTCTCATGTCTTCTTTGTTATTTCTCTCAAAAATGAGTAATGTGTTGGTCATTACTTCGTGATCAAGTTATTTTCATCAAAGCTCATCATCACAAATGGTTTGGACTATCGAAAAGAGTGAAAACACACACACACACACACACGCAAATAGTAAGAAGATACTTGGTTTTTCCCAGTTTGGTTAAAACATGCCTCATAATCACATCCCAATGGATCAGTTTCAGACTCTCATTCACGATAACATCCAAACGCTCTCACGATGGCAGCAGAACCCTTAAAAGCTTTTCGGTTAACTTTTATGCTCTTAAAACTGTAAATAACTAGAAGATAAACACAGGCCAACGTGTTTCCATTCCTTCACAGAAGCCAAGTTTGATCAGATCTGTGGCTGAAACCAAAACAGAATGTAAGAAGTCCATTACTTGTTAAAACACTTTTCTTTGCAAATACACCAGGCTCCGATCTCCTGGTCTTCACTGAGACGGCGTCTCTCCTGAAACCCCAGAGACGTGCATATAAACCACTACAGCTGTCCAAAGTGGCCACAAATGGATCCATTTCAAACGTTTTGCACACGTTTTTATAAAAGTAGCAAACTCCAGTCGGCTTTCATCTGCAGATACATTTTCAAAGCGGGCAGAGCACCATGTGCAAACCACGCACTGGAAGTGACAGGTCAAGTGGATGTGAATGGAGAAATGGGCACTTGGTGATGTTTAGACAGCAATATTTTGAGTATTCAGAAGTACAAGCAGTCAAACGTGTGCTCTTACTTTCAGAAGAGTCTGTACTAATGAATAATGACTATTGAATTTGATTTTTGAAAGATGGATATTAGATAACTATGACTATAACTATGAAAGTTTTGTATTTGATTAAAACATTTTTTTCAATGATATACAATTGTGCAACCAGGTTACAAAATTATGCCTTTTCAGACCCCGAAAATGCCAAAGGTGGTCTCTCTTTCTGGTCTGTCTAGTCTCTCTCTCCATCTGGTCCCTCTCTCTCCCTCTGGCCTCTCTCTCCCTCTGGCCTCTCTCTATAGTCTCTCTCTTGCTCTCTGGTCTCTCTCTATCTGGTCCCTCTCTCTGGCCTCTCCCTATGGTCTCTCTCTTGCTCTCTGGTCTCTCTCTATCTGGTCCCTCTCTCTGGCCTCTCCCTATGGTCTCTCTCTTTCTCTCTGGTCTCTCTCTCTGGTCTCTTTCTTGTTGTCCTTCTGTAGTGATGAACACTTTTAAGCAACTATGGTTAAAGTTCTAACTTCATTCTTACATATGCAGAGGCCTATACCTTTCCACTTGATGTTTTGTCTATCTGAAAGCCAAGCTACAAGCACAACGTGGCAGCTGCTGATTGGAGGTCTCTGTTTCTCCTGAGTATATTATCACTTGCTGTCTAATTTTCCTTGTTCGTGCCCTTGTTTGTGCGTCTACCATCAACAATAAAACATGTCTTCTGTCTGAATTAAAGACACGATCCCAGACTTTGGCTGATTCCCAACACTTCTATACACTTTATCTTCACAAATGGACCAGCAGAGGACAGCAAATCACTCACACCTCAGAGGCTGACACCCAACAGCAGCCCAGAGAACAAGACAATTGAAGAAATCAATAAGGGGACCAGCTTATATACCTAGCACGTTACCCGACGGCACCTCCTCCAGCTGCTCCAACTCCCTTCCCATGAGCAGGTAGAGACCCCCCAGGGTGCAGAGGGACAGGTGTGGGATCTCCGGGACGAAGGAGGACAGGGCACTGCATCCCTCCGGCAGCTGGAGAAGAAACTCACAAATCAGGGTTCAAGGTTCAACTTTATTGTCCCTGAAGGGAAATTTTTCTTAGACTCACAGTGCTGTTGGACTCGGTCTCCCTCTCTGGTCTCTCCCTCTCTGGTCTCTCCCTCCCTGGTCTCTCCCTCTCTGGTCTCTCCCTCTCTGGTCTCTTCCTCTCTGGTCTCTCCCTCTCTGGTCTCTCCCTCTCTGGTCTCTCCCTCTCTGGTCTCTCCCTCTCTGGTCTCTCCCTCTCTGGTCTCTCCCTCTCTGGTCTCTCCCTCTCTGGTCTCTCCCTCTCTGGTCTCTCCCTCTCTGGTCTCTCCCTCTCTGGTCTCTCCCTCTCTGGTCTCTCCCTCTCTGGTCTCTCTCCCTCTCTGGTCTCTCCCTCTCTGGTCTCCCCCTCTCTGGTCTCCCCCTCTCTGGTCTCTCCCTCTCTGGTCTCTCCCTCTCTGGTCTCCCTCTCTGGTCTCCCTCTCTGGTCTCCCTCTCTGGTCTCCCTCTCTGGTCTCCCTCTCTGGTCTCCCTCTCTGGTCTCCCTCTCTGGTCTCCCTCTCTGGTCTCCCTCTCTGGTCTTCCTCTCTGGTCTTCCTCTCTGGTCTCCCTCTCTGGTCTTCCTCTCTGGTCTCCCTCTCTGGTCTCCCTCTCTGGTCTCCCTCTCTGGTCTATTGACTCTGCTGATCTCACGATGGCATAGTAAAAAACCAATACTCTTTTTGGAAATGCAGCAAAGCAATTTGCAATAAACGACCAGGCTCCGTATTCAATATGCTAAGCGTCTACACGACAATGCAAAATGTAATTCAAGCACACGGCCAGTAGAGGGCAGTGGAACTTAACAACACAACACGTGTGACCCCCACCAGTCACTGCCATTGTTGTTTGTTTGTTCTCGGCTACTGCGAATGCCCCTTGCTAGCCCCCTGCCGCGCAGCGTACCAGTTCTGTTCCACTCAGTTGGCCGTTTCCCAACGCAAAAGCTTTCATCACCCTGAAACATTGTACGAAAAGGCCAATCCTATACCCAACTATCGGTTTGCTGACGCAGCGTCCTTTTATAAACGGAGACGGAGTGATCTACAGCCTCAGCCTGTAGAGATTTCTACACATTCATTAACATATCTGGGCAGTGGTCATCCCACTCCCTATGGACCACTGGCTTCTTTGAGTTTGTTATTATTGCATTTCTTGTGTTTGAACAGTTTCACTCCCAAATCTGTTGATCTCAGATCTGGTCTGGTCTCTGACAGTCGGCGGTACTTACCGTGCTCAGGCTTCGTGCCGGGTCGTACTTTGGTCCCAGGACAAAAACCTTCTGTCCGGGCCGCACCACTCCACTGTAGACCCGAGCGAAAGCAACAAATGTATCATTCTCCTCAGCAGGATCCTTCAACGCCAAAGCCTCCATCCTGGATGATGCATCTATGAGACATGACATGATAGATTTGATAGATAGATAGAATAAAAACCATAAATTCCAGACTATAAATCACTGCTTTTTTCCTGCATTTTGAAGGCTGCGGCTTATAGGAAGGTGCGGCTTGATTTTGTTTTTAATTCAGTGGCAGTAGACCAAAAGAAATGATACAATACAATACAATACAATTTATTCTTGTATAGCCCTAGGTCACAACAGAAGTCATCTCAGAGACTTAACAAAACCATTGAAATCACCAACACAGGTCAGAGAATCAACAGTTAAAACACATGAAGAATATAAAGCACACACAGAAGAAAATGTCCATACATGTTGTAGAATGCTAAAGTGTCCTGATCATCACCAATCCTTTCTGTTGGACACTAACTGTCCAACAAGACCCTCCTGCATCGACGAGAATGATGTGAAGTACAGAGAGGCCTTTATAAATTGAAAGGTTAAATAGTTTAAAAGTCCTCACTTATAATATCTGTGTAAAGATATCCATATAATAAATAGTTTTTTGGTTCTTTGTAAAGACATGAAAGTGAAGAGAGCCCAGTAGATGTTGCTTCTCATCTTTCTGCTTCACACTGATTCAGAACAGTCTGTGACACACTTCTTACTCACAGTTAAAAGAAGAGATGAATGTTTTTGAGTGACATTTTTTAATATTACAATGTGGGAAAGGTGTGGCCAATAATCCAGTGCGTTTTGTACAACTACAAAATTCAAATTCTTTCTTAAAATTAGGGCCTGTGACTTATAATAGTCTTATAGTCCACAAAATAAGGTAAATGGATGATTTTAAAAATAGCTAACAATAGAAATAAATGCAACAGCCCTTTAGGTCACAGCAGCAGAGGTGGAGTTGCCGCTTGGTTTGGACCATTAGCTCTGCTCTAGTCCAAAGTGAGATGCTGAATGCTTTATTAGCAATTTTCCAGTGGATTTTTGCCTAATCCGCTTCGGTCTGTGAATTCTCTCCACTTCGGTGCAAAACCAACATCTCAGGATTATGGAACAACCCCTTTCATAACACCTCATGTAACTGTTCTCACAAACCAGCATGCCTCAGAAAGACCAGATAGCGAGAGACCAAAGAGAGAGCCCAGAGAGAAAAAGACCAGAGACAGACCAATGAGAGACCAGAGAGAGACCAGTATTTTGATTTCTCACCAGTGCTGTCGGCAGATGTGTCCTGTGTACTGGCCTCAGGCTGAACATGGACCTCTTGTGGACTGGCGTCAGATCTGACTGATCCAGTTCGGTTTTCGGCTGCCATCTTTTCTGCATGCCTCTGCCGCGCCAGCTCCGTCCGCTGGCCGATCTCTTCCTGGGTCAGCGGCCTGGACACATGTAACACAGACAGATGTTTGTGGAGGTGAGGAGCTGAGAGGAGCAGGGAGGAGAGGAGAGAGATCAGAGTGAGGGAGAGAAAGACCAGAGAGAAAGAGACCAGGTGTAATTTGAATATTTTTAAGTTATCATTTTAATATAGTAAGATAAGATAAGATAAGATATACTTTATTAATCTCACAAAGGAGAAATTTACATGTCACATCTGGCATGGATAGAAACACTCAAGATTGTGCAAAAAGAAGAAATGTGCAAACATGTTAAATGCAGGATATATTATGTACAATAAAAAGTGTCAATTTAAAAAGTGCCAATCAGAAACAGTGTCAACAGTAGTGCAGGTTTTTTCAGTCTTAATGCAGTGACTTAAAGTGACTTGTTGTACAGTCTGACAGCGGTGGGGATAAAGGCCCTGCGGTAGCGCTCCTTCTTACACTGAGGATGTCTCAGTCTTCCACTGAAGGAGCTCCTCAGCTCCTCTACAGTCCTGTGCTGTGGGTGAGAGATGTAATATGTGGCTAAAATACTGTATAAACCGGGTTGTACGCAGATGGGACCAGGCTAGGCCTGGTAAGAAGGCCAGTTTCTTTCATTAATATGCTAAATACCAAAGGTCTCATTGTGAAGCTATGACTGTGTGGAAGGGGAGGTGTGTTTTATCTCCTTCTGTACTGCCTTGCAGGTTGACTGAAGGCAGATATGTTTTGGACACGAGACTGAGCTGAGCTGTGCTCTTTCTCTACAGAACTTGTCTCCTTGGAATGCAACCAAGTAATAAAAATGCCGAACTATGCCTTTTGTCCATGTGATTTTGTCAGGATTGATTGTAAATTACAGCAATAACACCAGGGAAAGGGACTAGTTTTATCTATTTATTTGTTTGAATGGGACAGTGCATGTCAATGAACAGACACATTAAAGAAGCTATACCCGATTTTTTTTCTAAGTAGTTGATAAAAATGCTTATTACTACATACAAGTTGTATTATAATCTGTAATTTAATTGAAAACTTGAGGTAATTGATTCAGCTGTGTAAGAATTACAAGCAGTGAAAAGTGCTGAGTAGAGTCTGAGCGGGACGCTCGTTCTCCTCCCCTCACAGAACGAGCAGCGAACAGCCTGCGTCCTCTAGCCTCTACAGTGCCTTGCGAAAGTATTCGGCCCCCTTGAACCTTTCAACATTTTGCCACATTTCAGACTTCAAACATGAAGATATAAAAATTATTTTTTTTGTCAAGAATCAACAACAAGTGGGACACAATCGTGAAGTGGAACGAAATTTATTGGATAATTTAAACTTTTTCAACAAATAAAAAACTGAAGTGGGGCGTGCAATATTATTCGGCCCCCTTGCGCTAATACTTTGTAGCGCAACCTTTTGCTGCAATTACAGCTGCAAGTCGCTTGGGGTATGTCTCTATCAGTTTTGCACATCGAGAGACTGGAATTCTTTCCCATTCTTCCTTACAAAACAGCTTGAGCTCAGTGAGGTTGGATGGAGAGCGCTTGTGAACAGCAGTCTTCAGCTCTTTCCACAGATTCTGGATTGGATTCAGGTCTGGACTTTGACTTGGCCATTCTAACACCTGGATACGTCTATTTGTGAACCATTCCATTGTATATTTGGCTTTATGTTTTGGATCATTGTCCTGTTGGAAGATAAATCTCCGTCCCAGTCTCAGGTCTTTTGCAGACTCCAACAGGTTTTCTTCCAGAATAGTCCTGTATTTGGCTCCAACCATCTTCCCATCAATTTTAGCCATCTTCCCCGTCCCTGCTGAAGAAAAGCAGGCCCAAACCATGATGCTGCCACCACCATGTTTGACAGTGGGGGTGGTGTGTTCAGGGTGATGAGCTGTGTTGCTTTTACGCCAAACATATCGTTTTGCATTGTGGCCAAAAAGTTCGATTTTGGTTTCATCTGAGCAGAGAACCTTCTTCCACATGTTTGGTGTGTCTCCCAGGTGCTTGTGGCAAACTTTAAACAAAACTTTTTATGGATATCTTTGAGAAATGGCTTTCTTCTTGCCACTCTTCCATAAAGGCCAGATTTGTGCAGTGCACGACTGATTGTTGTCCTATGGACAGACTCTCCCACCTCAGCTGTAGTTATCTGCAGTTCATCCAGAGTGATCATGGGCCTCTTGGCTGCATCTCTGATCAGTCTTCTCCTTGTTTGAGATGAAAGTTTGGAGGGACGGCCGGGTCTTGGTAGATTTGCAGTTGTCTGATACTCCTTCCATTTCAATATAATTGCTTGCACAGTGCTCCTTGAGATGTTTAAAGCTTGGGAAATCTTTTTGTATCCAAATCCGGCTTTAAACTTCTCCACAACAGTATCTCGGACCTGCCTGGTGTGTTCCTTTGTCTTCATGGTTCTCTCTGTGCTTTAAACAGAACCCTGAGACTATCAAAGAGCAGGTGCATTTATACGGTGACGAATATTCACAAAATGCTGCACATCAGACAAAAGAATATGCACTCAGGAATCATAAGGATGACCAGCTTACAAACCAGACAATTATTGACTCCAAGAATAAACAAATGCTCTCTCCCACTCTCGAGGAGGGCAAAAGTCCAACACAATCAGGCGCCCAGTGGTGGGGGCCATTGTTTGCTCAGGCTGATATGGAGGACCAAGACCTGGACCAGGGTCCAGACCGGAGACCAGACCAGAGACCAGTTTCAGACCATGTGACGTCATCGGACATGTTGATAAAACCGGGGGTAGGACAGTCTGAGGAGGAAGAGCAGGGATAGAGACAGAGAACATGGCAGAGCGCCTGCATGTTCTCTGCACATTTTCAGGCCTGGAGGGAAAGTTTAGGATGGCATAGCATAGGGTTAGTTTTAGAGAATTAATGGCTCCAAGGGTTTTGTATCGATATTTAATTGTAAAGAGAATTAAATGTTCTATTTTTAACTCCTGCATTCTTGGCCTTATTTCTGTATTGAATTCTGAACACGTCAGTCAAATCTTTTTTGACGACAGATGGTGACCCTCGACGTGATTTGATACAGAAAGAAGACGCAAGATGAGCTCAGATAGATAGACTGGGTCTGTTGGGTCTTGGGGCTCTCTACTCTGCAAAACACAGGTAAGCAGATACCATTTCTAAAATCTGCACATTGTTTTAAATAGAAGACAGAGAGATCTCGGCCCAACACGACTGCAGTTGTGGACAGACCGCCGTAACGGGCGTTCTATCGGACGGGATAGAACAATAGTCAGGTTTAGACGTTTTTAGCCTTGGGGGAAGAATTGGTCCCTCCTTAAATAAAACAGAACATAGATGAGAGGTCCACAGGGTTTAGAAGTGCAAAAGAGGCACACCTTCGTGCAGAGAGGCACAAGTGTATTAGTGAAAAAATAGGAATAGAATTAGAGAAATAGGGACAGCTTTAGGGTCAGAACAGGATAATAAAACCTTCTATATCCCCCGGGGGGCGGGAAAAAGGGTACAATTAATTTAAACAGGAAAAAGCCAAGTATTTAAACTGATGGATTCTATATATAGAATAATAATGATCTGATTAATGAGGAAAAAAAAGAGAGCCACTTGGCTGTAGTATACGAGTTTCCATGTGAAGAAATGACCAGAATGATCAGTTATGGAAGTTTTTCTCTTATTCTGATGTAATGTTTCAATAGTTAGAGGTATTAAAAAAAAAAAAAAAAAGATCCGGCTGTACCTAGTGATGCATTGGTCATGTACGCAAATTGTAATGTTTTCCATTACTGACGTATTTAAGGATAAAATGTAAAGTGTCGTTTGACGTGAGAAAAACTTTTACCACTGATTAAATCCTTGTCACGAGAAAAACGAGGGAAATGCTTGAAGCATACAGCACTCAGCCCCTCCCCTTTCTCTTTCTGTCTCTCTCTCTCTCTCTCGTGAGGAAAGAACTATTACCAAATATATTTTTTGTAGAGAATTACATTTATACACACGATAATGTTACTGACATGGAGTCATATGATCACAGAACTTTGAGTTAGATTATAAAGAGGCATTATTTTATTTTTATCTCCAAGGCGTCTGGACAAGTTTTTTCCCTACATTTTGGTGATATAAAAGTTAGAATGATCTTAGAGAGCATTATACTTTTGGAAAAATAGGGCTTAGGATAGCAGTTGAATGCAGAATTCGGTTTTCAGAATCTAATGTTTAATTAAAATGTTAATATTAATTATTTGATAGGTTTATTTGGATTTGTAATTAATCATTGGTGTTGTATGGTAATTAACACACTTGTTTGTGTTTCTTGTTTGTCTGTTTTTTCCGAGAAAACTTCTGTCTGTTTCATTTGGCCAAAAACGCCTGCCACAAGACCTCAATCGAGCGCCATCAACACGGACCATCAGCGTCTCCCCCTCTCCCGGCGGGTCGCAGGGGGCAGCATCGGCTGCAGCAGCTAACAGGAACTCTCGAAGAAGACTTCTCCGGCCTCCATTTCATGGAGAAGAACCAGACTTTTGCACAAACCGAGTGGAGTTATGTGCACGGAGAGGAACGTTGTGTAAACCAAGCGAAAGACACGACACATTGGTGTGCGTCAAAAATGAGACAAAGACATTGAAAGAAGAAGAAAGAAAGTGATTGAAAGAAGAAGAAAAAAGAAAGTGGTTGAAAGAAGAAGAAGAAAGAAAGTGATTGTTTAAAGAAGAAGAAAAAAGGCATTGAGGCAAAACATTGGACACTTTGAGACAAAGACATTGGACACTTTGAGACAAAAGACATTGAAAGACCCCATGAGTAAAAGGAGGAGACATTAACGGACGTTTGGGGAGGACGTGGCTGGGCAAATGAAACAGACGGAAGGTAATATACAGACAGGCAACAAACGCACAGAGACATATAAGACATTTAGGTCATACATTTAAAACACTACATTTAGCTGCATGAAAGATTGCAAGACAATCGTCAAAATTAATTTGACTCTTGCTTTAGCATGAGACACAAGGAGATTAGAACAGCAGTATATTTA